AATAGTATGTGTGCATTACATAAATTTACTCTCTGCCAGGTAAATGATTCACACCCACTGGAAACTCTCACATGCATCCAAAAAAAATTAAAAACAAAAAAAAGCAAAGAAAAGCTGGAGGATAATACCACAAAACAATATTTAGCTTGCTGATTCTGGCCTGATAAACTCATCTGTCTCGGTCTCCTCTCCGCCGCTCTGTGTGAACTGTAATAAATGTATTAAGCTCTAAACAATTTGCTGTTAAAAACTGGATGGCTCTCAGCTAAATATTAATGGGAAGGTTTTCTACTACAGAGACCCATTGGATAATGGAAGAATCTAATGTGGGGAAAGTAGTGGGAGCAAGAAGCATGACTACATTTAAGACAAAGTTTGGCATTGGCATAAATGACTTGGATATTCCATTTGAGAACTTCTCATTCTGCTTGACTTCTGTGGAGCTGCTCCCAATTTACAGCATAAGAAGTGGGAGGAGAAGCGAGACCCTATAGTTCTCTCCAGCCTTCACAGCAGCCTTGATTTTAACATATGACAATGGCCCCTGTCAAATTTAACAAGACGATGACAGAAAAGTTAGAAGAAAAAAGTAGGTTTTCAAATTCTTTCACAATTGTAATTTTCTGAAAATGGAACTAGAGTCGGCAAAGGAAGAGAGACATTTTCAGCTGCAGCAGCTAATGAACTGCAGAGAGATGCACGCACTTGAGCTGTGTGTGTGTCTGAGAGAGACACACATCATAGCTTATTATCTCCTTTCCACATCTTATTATCCTCTTGCTGATGTCCCCCTAATATGGCTGCAGATCTCATGTATTCTCCCACTTGGTCCTTCCCAACTGCATTTTGTGGCAGTTATCCTACTGCCTCCAATGCTTACCCCAGCTCTGCTGACAGTGGTTTCTTCTAGGGAGGCAAAGAATGAGGAAAGACCTTTAAAGTGATCTTTGGACCATGCAGTAAACCTGAACACGACGTTCTGGCTGTCAGTCACAGGGCAGTGAAGCCCGAGCTGCATTTGGAAGGTACCTTCCTGCTCACTGTCTCCCAGGAGCCCATCTCTCTCTGGAGACAGAGAGACCAATATTTCCAAAGTTTATTTCCCACCATAATCTTTCTGGGGTCCCACCAAGTTGGCTCACTTGATAGTCCATGCAGCTTCATAATTCAGATGGATCCCGAGGGAGGCAGTGTAATCCAGACATGAGCAGGGGGTTGAACTAGATGACCTCTTGAGGTCCCTTCCCACCCTGATATTCCATGATTCTATGACTAGGAACCAGGAGATGCATGTTCTTTTCCTGCTTCTGCCACTGACTTGCCATGTGACCTTGGGCCCTACTCTTCATCTCTCTGTGCCTCTGTTTCCTCATTTGTGTCGGAGGATAATGATACTGATCCACCTTTTTAAAATGCTTTAAGAGCTAAAGGTGGAAATATTATATTAATTATTCTATTCTATTATATTATTGTTCATATCTCAGCCTCATCTAGGGACCCTCAGGCAGCAGCAGATCAGAAAGGCCATAAGAAACCTGAGGCAAACCAGAGAGCCCTTGCATGCTGAGAAGTCCCAGAATGTTATGGGTTGTGCCTCTTTACAAACAACACATTCTGGTGTGACCGAAAAGAGACAGTGTTCCTATGATAAGTATCCTGCATCTGCTTGTCTGCAAGAGCGGAATCAACAAGTCTTCACTGGGCCTACAGAGTCGACAATTGTTGCTGAAGAGAGTTGAAAAGTGTTATATGGTGCTGTGCAAAGCTCCACAAAAGACAAGGCAATCATGCTGAAGAGCAGACAGCCTACTTCAGGCAATGATGGACATCAGTCGGGGGAGGCACCCCATAAAGGGGCAACTTGTGTAGCAATTGTTCTTTGAAGAACATTTTCTGGACTCTCCAACCACCAGAATACAATTCCAATGTGGTTGGATGCCTTACAAACCAAGAGCCATATCCTAAACTATCAAAGGCAGCGTAGTCTAGAGGAAAAAGCATGGGGCTGGGAGCCAGGAACTCCTGTGTTACAATCCTACGTCTACCACTGACTGGCTTTAGGTAAGTCACTTAGCCTGGGATTTTCAAAATGAGGTGTATGTATTTGTGGATGTACCCTGAGTGTGTGATTGTGGTAAGTGTGTGCGGATAGATGTCTAAGTGCCCATTAGAACAGGCTATGAGTGAGGGGGGAGTTTCTGTGATTTTAATCAGGAAAGTAGGGGTGAAATCTTGGCTCCAGTGAAGTCAAAAAGGGTTTTAGCCTGGGTATGTAAAAGCACATGCACAGTTCTAAAAACCCTTAAACTCTGAGCTGGCATGAAATGTTGATCATATTCCTCTTACTTACAAGGGTGCTGAGAGGACTAGTTAATGTCAGCGCAGGGCTTTGAAGATACAATAGGCTGTCTGCAGCATGCTAGGTCGTGTACCTTCCCTCTGTGCCACACACACAGCACTAGAACTGGTGGAAAAAAATCAAATTTTGAAATTTTCTGATGGAAAAAAGGGGATCCCAAAAGAGAGTCCCATTTCCCAACCAGCCTTTACACAGCACTTATCAGTATCAGTGCATCCATGCCTCAAGAGTATATGACCCTTACAATTTGTAGACTCTAAGGGCCAAAGTCAGCCCTGGTTTAAGCCCTTAAAGTCAAGGGAGTTGCACCCACTTACACCAGGCTAGAACTGGCCTTGCAAATTGCAGCCTCCAAATCCACATCTGAATCCTCTGTCTGTCCATTTCTGCTGTAAATTATCAAGCATAATCCCAAAAAGCCTCATTTACCTATTATTTACATGACTAAACCACTCCAGTTCCTTTATTTCAAATGCTAACATTTCACCCAGTTACTTTACAAGGATTCAGTATGTGATCTAAACCTTTCCATGGGAAGAGACGAGACCAAGAGTTAAAGGAGAAAGACTAGAAACACACAGACACACACACACACACACACGTACAGTTTAAGAAATCCAAGTACAGAGCTCTATGCTGTTGCACCTGGTATTTCAAAATGGTCTCCTCACTTGAGATGTAGTGACTCACTCCCTGCTTGGATTCGCTTAGCAGCTCTAGAAATGGCACCTGTTCCAATCCAGTCCTGACTCCCTGCACCATGGAAAAGTTGACTAATACACAATAAAGTAAAAGTGCAGGTGTAAAAGGAGAGGTCCCACATCCGGACGCTGTGATTGTCCGCTAAGGGAAGGAGGATAATAAGGTTTCAGATAGTTATTGTCCAGCTAAAGTGTGGGTTAGGCAGAGAATGAAAGCACATCCAGACAGAATGGTGAATGCTAACAGGAACAAGCCAGCCAAACAGGGACTAACCAGCAAAGAAAAGAGAAACATCTCCCCCTGCTGGAGGACAGCTCCTCTTTTTACCCAAGGAGAGTTTGCTCCCCAGAATTAATTCATATGCTATTGGCTCAGAAAGGAGTTCAGAGGGAAGGGATGGGAGTTTGGGTAATGGCATTCCTGTCTGAGGTGTGTCCCATCAGATCTCCTCTTCCTTGGCGATTTTAAACTGGAAGGGTTAATTAATCATGATTCCAGTTTGGGAGTGAAGCTCAGGTCACATTATGGCAATCCAACACCTTTCTAATCATGGAGCGAATTAGTAGCTAGCCTGCAACAATAACCGCCTCTAACCAGGACTGCTCCATTCTTGCGGAATGCTTCCCTTTCTTGTGGTGCTTGTAGCTAGGGCCGGCTCCAGGCACCAGCTTACCAAGCAGGTGCTTGGGGCGGCCACTTCGGAGAGGGGCGGCATGTCCAGCTGTTCAGCGGCAATTCGGTGGTCGGTCCCTCACTCCTGCTCGGAGCGAAGGACCTCCCGCCGAATTGCCGCCGCAGATTGCGATCGCGGCTTTTATTTTGTTTGTTTGTTTGTTTGGCTGCTTGGGACGGCCAAAACCCTGGAGCCGGCCCTGCTTGTAGCACAAGGCAATCGCTTCTCCGCTGAGACAGGGACTGTGGGAAACCAATGCTCCTGTGTAGTCAGGGGCCTTTTAAAACAGTGGTTCTCAAACTTTTGTACTGGTGACCCCTTTCACATAGCAAGCATGAGGGTGACCCCCTTTATAAATTAAAAACACTTTTTTATATATTTAACACCATTATAAATGCTGGATGCAAGCGGACTTTGGGGTGGAGGCTGACAGCTCGCGACTCCGCATGTAATAACCTCGCGACCCCCTGAGGGGTCCCAACCCCCAGTTTGAGAACCCCTGTTTTAAAAGAACTCAGCCTTTTCTCAGCTTTCACTCCTTTTCTCCTCTTACCCCTGACGATTTCATTACACAGGGAAGGGAAAGAAAACCCGGAAATAGCAATAAAGGCAATCGCACTATTCCTCTGTTCAGCCCCATTCCCCCCACACAACCTCACTGTCTGCTGTGAGGGGGTCGATCACCCCTTTAAATCTAAGAACCTTTGGGCTCTGTTGGGAAGCCTGCCAACTTTGGGGGGTGTTTCAGGAGAAAAGGATCCCTAAGAACCCATCAGGCGTAACTGAATAGATGGCGTTCCAGGGCCCCTGTCAAGTCAGGGATCAGAGTCGCACTTCTAAGAGATTTTGCCCCACAGAGAAGGCCTTTGCTGCCAAGCCCCAGAGTAAGACAACTCCACAGGCTTGTCTGTTTAGAGAGATGATGACTTTCTAAGCAGCCATCAGATGGGTTCCTTTAATGCATCCTGACCATAACGGGGGACCGGAGGTAATGCACTAACTCGCCTATACCCATTCCAGGATGTCACCATGCCAACCATCTATAAACACCAAGAAAAAAATGCCACTCAGACCAATTCCCAGAGTCTTTCTTTATAACGCATGAGAGACAGAGAGTGAACACTTCTTTAGGAACACAGGAACACCACTTCTCTCATACCTCCAGTCCCTGCCCCACCCCAACTGTCTCATGCCCCCCACCCTCCCAATGCCACCCCCTCTCAGGTGCAGCAGGAGGGGGGCAGCAGACTGGCTTTCAGGCTGTACCTGTTTCCTGGAGCTCAGAGCCCCCTTGTTGCCCTGGCAGGAGAGTTTCATGGAGCTGGAGCTGGGCGGCTTGCCCTGGTGCACGGAGCTGAGCCTGCCGGGGTCCTGGGGGGTGGCAGGCAGAGGGCTCATGAAGAGGATGCGGGCAATGAGGCCGTACAGGACGGTGGCCAGCCCCAGCGGGATGACATAGAAGATGGTGAAGTCCAGGAAGTAGATGGGCAGGTATAGGTTCCTAGAGACCCTGTAGCCACAGCTGACCTGTGCCCCGTCTGAGAAGGTAGCCTGGGCAGTATCCACCAGGAAGAACCACATCATGCAGTAGAGGGAGGTGAAGAGCCAGACGCAAGCGATGATGCGCTTGGCTCGGGCCACGGTGCAGAGCAGCTG